TTTTTTTTTTTTTTTTTTTGGTACCAGGGATTGAACTCAGGTCCTTGTGCTTGTGAGGCAGGTGGCGGAATCACTGAGCTAAATCCCCAGCCTTATCCTACACTATATTTCTATAATGCTCACTTCTATACATTTTTATTTCCTATATTCTATTATAGTTTTTAAAAATTAATACATTTGACTTTTTAGAATACTTTTGATCAGGAGCAGAACTGAATGGAGAACATACAGAATTCTCACATACCTCCTTGTGCCCACAAGCAAAATCCTCCCATCACTAATGTCCTCTGCCACAGTGGCACTTACAAAAAACAATCAATGAGCCCCCACTGACACGTTAGCACCACTCAAAGCCCACAGTTTATATTAAGGGTTAGCCCAGGTGTGGCACATTCCATGGTGTTTGACAAATGTGTAAAAACAGATACCCACCACCATTGTAGTGCTCTGTGGAATAGTTTAAATATTCAGGTATCTTCTAGGCTCTCAATTTATCCTTCCCTCTGCACCTTTTGCACCATTTATCTTTTGAATATCTCCACAGGGTTCTCCTTTCCAGTTGGAAGCACAGAGCATGTAGCCTTCTCAGATTGGCTTCACTTAGTCAAATACATTTAAAGTCCCTTCAATCTTTTAACAGCTTGATGACTTATTCCTTTTCAGCACTGAATTTATGCCACAGTTTATTGATCCATGCATCTACTAAAGGACATTTTGGTTTCTTTCAAATTTTGGCAATTATGTGTAAAGCAGCTATACAGATCTGTGTGCAAGCTTTTGGGCAGACACAAGCTTTTGACTCATTTGGGTGCACACTGAGGAGCACAATAACTGAATTGTGTGCTAAGAGAATGTTTAGTTTAGTAAGGAACTGCTGAACTATCTTGCCAAGTGTCGTACGCCATCAGCACTCTGGGTTTTTTGGCCTTTCTGATAGGTGTGTATTGGCATCTCTTTGTTGTTACAAATAACATAGTGGCTGTAGGACTTGAAGACCCTGAAGACATGATTCTGTGACTGGTTTATGGGCCACGTTCCGTGCTGGCGATGACTGAAGCTGGGGGTCCTGACTGAGTGAGTGCCTCTCTCTCACAATAGACTATGGAAACCATGATGGTGAGAGTCACGGAGAACAGATAAGCACGGCGTCCTATGGCTTTTCACAGAACACAATGTATCTGGTTTATAAGGCACAGTGTTCCAAGATTCCTTACACGTGGTTTTGTTTGGGATGAGGAGCCTAATGCTGTTTTTAAAAATCCCCTTACTCTTGATGGCTTTTCAGTATTCAATGCATGGCTTTCTCCAAAAGTGTGGAACATCCTGCAACCAAGCCCACTATGACTCAGCTTCTAACTGAAATACTACTGCTCCGTGCAACTGAAAAGTAGAAAATAACACCACCAATTTTTCAGAAAACGACAAATAGTACAAAATTCAATAATCATAATAGTTTCCCAACATGTTAAAATATTAGCCTGAAAACAACGCCAAAAAGAAAATACCGCAAAGAACTACTCACTGGGCTTGAATTCTGGTACTTGAATAAAAAGCAGTTTTTAAAGAAAATGAGATTAATAGAGTCTTTGTAAATTCTAAAGGGATTCTGTAAACTTCCAATTGTGTTAGTGGTCAGTGGCTTTGGATCTATTTATGTCAAATTTAATTCTAAAATATATGTACTTTCTGATAGAGATGTTACCAAAATAACAAGTATACAACTACTGCTTATAAATGTGGAAAGGAATGAAGAATGATTAGACATGATAAAGGACAAAGGATGATTAGATACAATCCAATAGTGAGAAGGCTCATTTGCATACGTGGTGTCAAATCCTACCTAACCGAGTGTGCATGACGACTGTTCAAAGAAGGGCAGGGGAAGGGAAAGAAGGGAAAAGAAAAAATATGAAAAAAGGAAAATATGGAAACAGAAATGTAAATAGTGAAGGGTGGTGGGAGGGCAGGGGAATGGGGAAAAAATAAGAACCAAGATATTTCATGTAGAGATACAAGACCCTAATGATAAATGTAACTATTGTTTGCCTTAACTGTACCAATAAACTTAATGGGGGGAAAACACAATTGTTCAAAGAGCCTGCGCTGACAACTGTGCAGGAGGAACAAACGCCCGAGTGACGCTGGAGAAGTGTGAAACGCTCTGGCCTGCACAGCTCAGTCCCAGCTGAGTCCTCCCCAGCAGAGGAGAGCACAGATGTGAGAGGAGATCTGGGTCTGCGCCTTGGATTATTCTAGAACAGTGGTTTCTAACTGGTGAGTGGGAGTAGGAAGGGACGGTGCTGAGGTTGAGAAACTGTGCCTTAGAAATAAGCAGGATTTGCAACAGCATAAGAAACCACAAGAACCCCACAAACACATGCAAACTGAATAACATCCTCCTGAACAAGAGGAAATTAAAGAAATCAGATAGTTCCTACAATTAAGTGACAAGGAAAATACTACATACAGAAATCTATGGGACACAATGAAAGCAGTTCTACAAGGGAAATTCACAGCAGTGAATGCCCATACCAGGAAAACACAGAGAGCTCAAATAAACAACCTAATGCTGAACCTCAATTTCCTAGAAAAAGAAGAGCAAGACAAACCCAAAGCTCATACAAGGGAGGAAATTATAAAGATCAGAGCAGAAATCAATGCAATGGATATGGAGAAAATGATGCAAAAAATCAATGAATTGAAGAGTTGGCTTTTCAAAAGAATAATCGATAAACCCTTAGCGCCCCCCCCAAAAAAGAAAGAAAAGGCTCAAATTCATGCAATTAGAAATGAAAAAGGAGAAATCACAACAGATCTACCAGAAATCCAGAGGATCAATACTTCAAGAAACTATACTCTAATAAAATGGAAAACACAGAAGAAATGGGAAGATTCCTAGATACATATGAATTACCAAAGTTGAACGAAGAAGACAAAAATTTAAAAACCCTAATTATAATCAGTGAAATTGAAAACATAATTAAAAATTTACCAGCAAATAAAATCCCAGATCCTGATGGCTTCACTGCTGACTTCTACAAGACATTTAGAGAAGAACTATCACTACTATTCTTTAAACTTTTCAGTGAAATTGAAAGGGAACCAATACTCCCAAATTCATTCCTGGAAGCAAGTGTTACTTTGATTCCAAAACCAGGGAAAGCCTAACCAAAACAGAGAACTATAGGCTAATCTCACTAATGAACATAGTTGCAAAAATCCTCAACAAGATACTGGCAAACAGAATACAGAGAATCATCAAGAAGATCATACACCCTGACCAAGTCAGATTTTTTCTAGGGATGCAAGGATGATTCAACATCAATAAATGTAATAAACTATATTAACAGAGTCAAGAACTATTATAACTATTTGATCATCTCAATAGATGCAGAAAAAGCATTGACAAAATCCAATACCCATTCATGACAAAAACTCTACAGAAAATTGGAATAGATGGTCTTCATCTCAACCTGATAAAGGCTATCTA